TCATCTCTTTCTAAACTCTCTGAAAAGGTGGTTCACTGTGACATTGAAAATATCTCGTCAGATGACCACAGGAGCATATAACCAGGGGTTCACCTTGAACAGAAGTAAAGGTATCTTGCTTTGCCATGTATCAATGTTACTTGAAAAGGTGTGGTACATCGACCTCTTGTATAAACTCATCCAAAAGGTCTTTCCACTTTGGCTTTTAATGCTGTTGAAATTCTTTCACGAAGACATGAAGTTTCGGATAAGAATTAACAAAGTTTTGTCAAAGCCGTTGTTCCTCAGGGTTCGGTCTTAGTATTGATCCTTTATTCATTTTATGTACGAGACGTCCCTGGTTCTAGTCGCTAGTACGTAGTCGTGTTCTACTGACCAGATTCAGAACAGGCTGTAGAGTGCGGTGGAGGAATTATTGGAGCGAGCGTTGGTGGCTGATCAAAATTGATCGCTAGAAGACGCAGGCAATATATTGTGGTAAAGACATCGCGGTGATTTATCAGAGATCTCACTGAATCGCACTCGTATACCATGGGAACAATCTGTCAGCTACCTTGAAGTCATCATTGATAAGAGGTTGACTTAACAGAGAAACACTGGTACTTTTAAAACGACATTCCAAATTACTTGGCGCAGCTTTATCTTTTGGTATCCAGGAATTCAAAATCCAGTTTGACCAACAACAAGCAGATTCACTAGGCCTGTAATCTTGAGAAATGAGAAAAAACGGGATTGTTATACCTTAGACAAATTCGTAGTTCTGCCACTCTTCGTGTCAGCTGCCTTTTGTATGACGACCAGTTGTAGGGCGCGTTTATGGCCTCCTTGATTGTCATACTCCTTTCTCTCCTTCAAAAATTTCTAGATTACACTTGTCACGTATCAGCGTCAGCGCTCTCCTATTGTGAAGATATGTTTCCTTTTTAACTTGTAGGAAATTTCAGGCTGATAAAACATGATATAACTCAAAATCTAGCACAATTTGATGCAAATAGATGTTTGTGACATAACCTCAAAATAGAGCGCTGACACGGAGAAGTAGAAAACTATGACAAGGACTGACGATACGGGCCTTAAAGCTCCACATTAGCACTAACATATATAACTCTAGAATATGACATTACTATATCTGAAAATGGCAGACTGTTATTGTTGAGCGTTGGACTTTAAATTGTTTGTAATTTAACAACTTATCATCAAAACGTATATTTTATAAGTATATCTGGACTTGCTACAAAATATGAGATATTCAGTTTAAGAAGAGAGACTGTTGCTGTTGCCACAAAGGAGTATCAATGACAAATAAAAGTAATGCCACGAAAGAAAAATCTTGTGTGTGGCCATCCCATTATTGTCAGTTGTCTATCCGCAGATATAAATAAAGTCTATCAAGTACTTGCTAATGCACTATGCACTTCTTACGCACGCACTGACATAATTTGGTGTTACACGATCACTGGTAGAAATGCGAAAACCTTGAACTGACATTGTGGCACTTTAACTAAATTCAATAATAAATAACATAAATCAAAAGGCTAACTAAAAAAGAGTACATCTAAGATAAAGGACAATAAAAACTAAAATGACATTACAAAACTGGTAGTTGCATTTGTGTTGTGAGCAATAAAGACAAGGATATATCAAGCATAGAATAGAATAAAATTAAATGCCCATCATACATGAGATACGGTTTAAGCATATAAGTGACTACAATAAAACATAATAAAATCTAATAAAATATAATAACGTACAATAAAATATGATAAAATAATAAATTAATAGAACGGAGCAATTATTCTAAAAACGGTGACTTCATTTGGGTTGTGAGAGTGATATATATAGTGTTTTGCCTTCTATATAATCATGTATTATGCTCCTGGATATACCTTTCACCCAGACTGAGATTTTTTTCTTGAATAAAGCAATGTTTCGTATTAACTTATAATCAGCAGGCATTTCGTTGTACAATTTGGGGCAGAGATAAATCCAGGAGCGTTGCAATAATGACTTTTCCGGCCTAGGTACCATTATGTGCCTAGCAACTTTCTGGCGAGTGTCATATTTGTGAGCGATTTCCTCATGAAATGATTTATTTTTAAAGTAGTATACCATGCAATTATAAATAAAGGTTTGCCTAATGTCCATAATTCCAGACTCATGGTATAGCTCATCAGATGGATGAGTTTTGCTCTTGCTATAAAGAATTTTTAATAAATATTTTTGGGCAATCTCCAAGTTCTTTATGTAAGTGAAGCCAGCTCCTCCCCAGCCAGTAGTATTCCATAGCAAAGATGTGACTGCACAAGTGCGAAGTATAAGATTCTCATGCAATCTGTATTAAGGATGTTTCTAAGACATTTGAATTTTGGAATGAGGCATCTTATTTTCTTTGTCACATATTCGATTTGAACATCCCATCTGAGATTTTGATCAATATATATTCCCAGATATTTAGTGCTGCTTTGACGTTTAATGGTTGTCGTATAGTTTCCTATTCTGACATTTATTTCGTTATATTGTGGCATATGGTTTCTATAGGATGCGAAAGGTACAAAACTAGTTTTCTCAGAGTTAACTGTGAGTAGCTTAGTGTTGAAATATGCTAGTACGTTGGTGAGATTATTTTCGATTTTATTTTTAAGTGCGGGCCAACTTGAGTCTTCATAAATTATGACAGTATCGTCCGCGAATCCTAACACTGTATCTCCCGAATCCATTGAGAATAAATCATTAATATATATATTAAATAATATTGGCCCAAGAACAGTTCCTTGTGGGATCCCATAGCATACGTCTTTATAATGACTGGTCACGTTATCTATTTTGACACAATGCTTTCTGTTATTTAGGTAGCTCGACATTAAGTCTAAAGTAGTTCCCCTTATACCGCTAAGCTCGAGTATTTCCGACAGCTTGTCATGACTAATGGTGTCGAAAGCTTTGGTTAAGTCTATAAATATGCAAATGGCAGGGATCTTATCGTTAACTAGTCTGTACAGTTTTTTGGATAGTGTAGCTATTGCATCTTGCGTTGATATGCCTTCTTTAAATCCAAATTGATTTTTATGTAACACGTTATACCTATTGAAAATCTTTAGTAACCTTGACTTGATTATTTTTTCTACAACTTGGGCGATACTCGAAATCAGGGATATTGGTCTATAATTTTCTATATCAAGTTTGCTACCTTTTTTGTAGATAGGTGTTATTGTGGCTAACTTTAAAATATCGGGAAATACTCCTGTACGAAAACATTCATTTATTATATATTTTAAAGGCTTGCATATATAATATCGTTTTTTTTTTCAGAGTTTCAGCTTTTATGTTATCGCTTCCAGGAGCCTTGCCATTTTTCAAGCTTAATATAGTCTCCCTCACTTCGTTTTCATCCGTATCGTCTAAATAAATTGAGTTGATAAGCTTATTTACTTGTTTGATAGGAGCAGTGCGTGGTATCTTCTCTGCCAGTTTTTCACCAATGCTTGTGAGGTGTTCCAAAAACTTCTGAGCAATATCATTTTTATTGGATATTTCTTCCCCACTTTCGATTTTTATCTTATTTATTTCTGCCTTTTTATTCCTTTTACCGGAAATCTCATTTACACAATCCCATAACATCTTACTACTATTATTGGTTTTCTTGATTTTGCTGTCGTAGTATTCCTTTTTTCTTATTTTTAATAGGTTATTTAATAAGTTTCTGTAATCCTTAAATCTTTTTATATTTATTTCCGTTCGGTTTTTTATCATTTCACGATATAGTTTGTTTTTCTTATTTACAGAGTTCACCAAAGCGCTAGTTATCCATGTTTTCCTAGCTTTTTGATTATTTTTGAGTTTTAATTTATACCTACATTTAGTGATATTTTCGTTCAATATTTGTATGAAATGTTCAGTAGCTTTGTGCGTGTTGATCGAATTATATATTGGTGTCCAAGTTTGATTATTCAGAAGTTCAAGTAATTTGGTTTCATTTGTTCTATCTACACAATTTGTGTTTATATTTTTGCTAATGATTTTGGGGAAAATTATCTCTAGTATAGATGTAAAGTGATCAGTTATATGGTTTGAAGTATTACAGAATTTATGTGACCATTATCAGAAGGAGTGCTAGCGAATATGTGATCAATACAAGACTTTGCGTTACCATCCACTCTTGTGTAGTCATTTATTGCTGGACGAAGGTAATACAAGGCTAAGATATTCAAGTATTTTTCCGATAACTCAGACTTTTCCATTATATTTATGTTTATGTCACCCGCCAGTAGATGGATGCAACGACTTTTGTTACAAGATTCAAGGTATGGCTCCAAGTCACTGAGAAATGACAAAGCATCTGTTGACGGTGGTCTATAAATAGCTGAAACAAGTACTAGGTTTTTACATTTTTTCATAGAAAGCTGCAAGATCTTTATGTTTGTGTTAGAAAGTTGTATTATTGTATTGTCGGTCACCTCAACGTTTTTATTGATATAAGCTATAACCCCATCATTTTTGTTAATATCACCATCATTATAGTATATGTTATAATTTTCCAGTTGATATAGTGAAATATCTTCAAGTTTCCAGCATTCTGACAAAACTATACAGTCGAATGTTTTTTTGATTCCATGCAGTAGCACCTTCAATTAGTCGAAATTTCTATGTATACTCCTAATATTTAGGTGCAATAACGAAACATTTTCTCTGTTACATTCTGAATTCAAAGTGCTATTGCATTCATCTATAGACGTTACATTTTTAGTACCAATCTTTTCTATTCGAAAATCACGAATGTATGAGTCCATTATGGCCTAGAGTTGCTTCTTAATTTAGGGCCTTGATGAATTACTAAGATTTTTTGCTTTCCTGAAGAAGCTTCTTCAGCAGATCTCTTTTCCCCTCTTTTGGTCTCGCTATTGTTGTTTGTGGATCTGTGGCCTGTTTCGAATTTCGATGTAGCTTCTACTGTAAATGTTTCTGGTAACTCGTCCTGTTGTAGTGTTTCATATGAATAGGCGTCACCATTCACATATAATTTGTTGTTTTTTTATATATGCTGAGTTATTTGCTTGTCTAGCTTGTTTTAAATGTGCATGTAGGACTTTTCTTTTTTCGTATTCTTCCTTTGTGTAGTCATTGGTGACAAATACGCCAGATCGTTTCGGTAATTGTTTAGATTTTATCAAAATATTTTGTTTGGTTCTATAGTTCAGCAGTTCAATAACAAGTGGTCGTGGCTTTTTTTGATTCTCTACCTTTCTACCTATGCGATGGGAATCTCTTATCTGGGTTGCTTCTATGAAAATTTCCAATTTTTGTTCGATAAATTCTTTAGCTTCTTCTGCTGCTCCTTTATCTTCCTCATTTATCCCATATGCAACTACGCTATACTTCTTCAACTTAGCTTCAAGCACATTCAGTTTGTTTTTTAATGTTTTATTTTCCTCTTCAATTTCTTTAAATTTATTATTCGTGTTCTCTATCTCTTTTTTTACTTCTGTGATGTTCTTATTTAATTGTTCAATTTCACCCTTGAGTTCCGTATTGGAGTTTGTAATTAAATTGTAGATGTCCTCGAGACTAATTGGTTTTTCTGCCATGATCGCGTACCCAATTTTATGTTGCTGTCAGTCGAATACACTGTAACGTTCTTCGTTGTGGTGTCAAGATCATTGGATGGTATCGCTATCGAGACTTGGTCGTTTAGAACCAAAATACCTCTTCTCAGAGCGTGGGCGTAACTGGGCGTGGCAGCTTACTTTGTTTATGTACGGACAACGGAAAAAATAAACGTTTATAACTTACGCACTTATCCAGATTTCCTTGTGCTGCTTTCACAACTCAAATCATCAACACAACTGCAACCTCTGGGTTAAAACTCACAGTTTTTAATAAACTAGAACACTACTTTTCCGCTAAATAATGCGGAGCTCACTTGGCGAGACCTTTCTCGTGCAGATATATATATATATATATATATATATATATATATATATATATATATATATATATATAGAAGAACTGACAAATTTTAACGTTTTTCTAAATGGAATATTCCTTATTTTATTACATATTTGGATAGATCCATCAAAGAAAAGAATATTGATAATACATACTGCGCTTTGGTACTTGGTTGTTGAGTTATAAGAGATATGACTGTCTGCCACTTTGGAAGGTAGGGTTTTTGCTCCAGGGTTATAAAGTACCTATATATTAAGAGCTTCTAAATAAGGTATCCTATGGCCTCCAAGAGAGAGAGACATTTTTGAAAATCACATATAATAGTAGGAGTCTGAGTCTATCAAGCACGAATATGCACCGTAGTGCCTGTTCCAGAACACTACACCCGATACAATAGACGTTCTTTTGTTAAATTAGAACAGGTATCACGTTTCGTAGTAGAAAACAACTCGCCAACTTCACACCACAGATTAATAGCTTGGGTAAAGTGTATACACATGTAGTAGATAGTGGAAAATTGAATAACATATAGTGTTGCAGGTGTCCATACAGTATTCATCTTTGTTGGAGATAGGATCTTCAATTAAAAGTGCATTTTGACTCCGCACATGACAATCGTGAAAGTCATTGACATTCGTACGTTTAATTGATGCTTTGCATAACAAAAATCTGTATTAGGTATTTACGCAGGCCTGTGTGTCAGTCTCATTGTAGCTTTCTTGTCACTCCATATTCACAGCAACTGATGAAATGATTTCGGTCAGGTCTGCGAAGCAATACGCTAGATGATTTTAGGAGATATAATACTGCTGCATTTTTATAAATAGCTTCCGTGTCAGGTAATCCATTAACAAAAAAACTAAACGTCAAATCATTGTGCCCAAGCCTGTAAGTCGAGATCCAAAACCAAAACCTCTATCACCATACAGACAATTTACAATTATATTGCAATTGTCAATTCTACGCACCCTACAACATACAACTAATCTTGAATTACAATCTTGAAAAAATCGTTAACATGATAAAAGCGATTTATCAAAAATTATTTTAAATGGAATTTGAACAGATTAACATGTTTAAATCGACGTAATTTGGTAGGTATATTATTGAAGAGAAGAGGACCAACTATATTAGGTGATCGACATGCTGCTTTTGTTTTGCTAAATTTTACATATAAATTACTATTAACCATTGTATCATAATTTCAATTTCAATTTATCATTATTTTTAAAAACATGTAAGCACAATCCATAATACGAGTATATTCAACGAAGGAACAGTGCAAATATTGAAATCTATAAAATAAAACGAGTATCACCTTTTGTTGGTGATACTCCTGATAGCGATCGAGTGCAGCTCGTTTGTGATACAAATACATCTTCAGCGCGCGCTGACTAACCCCAGAAATATACCCAATAACTTTATCTTGGATCCACGTTAGCAAAATAAACTTGAATCAGTTCTTCAGTTGTTAAGATGGTTTTTGATGGCCTCAACACGTAGCTTCGAGAGCTCATCTGCGGTATGACTAATTCACATTCCAATTAAGGTTCATCAAAATGTGTATCTTACGTTTCGCAAATCTCATACTTTTTTGTGAATATTTAGGGAAATTTTTCTGTGGGTGTAATAATTTTTGGAAATCCGTAATTTGATTACTAGATTCCTCTCTTTTTTCTATCATATATCATATCGGCAAAATATTTTTGGGTGGATTTGGGTAGATTAGACAACTTTTAGTTCATGAAAAGATTAAGATCTCCTCTCAGGTACTACAACTAAGAATAACAAATATATTGATCAGATGTATCGCATACGCTGTTAGGTTGTCACTTATAGGTATACTACAAAATCAAATTTGCGAAGGTGTGAGCTACGTACGGTTCTTGATTATATTTACGTAGATGAAAAACTAACTGGTCGTCATACAAAAGGCAGCTGACACGAAGAGTGGCAGAACTACGAATTTGTCTAAGGTATAACAATCCCGTTTTTCTCATTTCTCAAGACTACAGGTCTAGTGAATCTGCATGTTGTTGGTCAAACTGGATTTTGGATTCCTAGATACCAAAAGATAAAGCTGCGCCAAGTAATTTGGAATGTCGTTTTAAAAGTACCAGTGTTTCTCTGTTAAGTCAACCTCTTATCAATGATGACTTCAAGGTACCTGACAGATTGTTCCCATGGTATACGAGTGCGATTCACTGAGATCTCTGATAAATCACCGCGATGTCTTTACCACAATATATTGCCTGCGTCTTCTAGCGATCAATTTTGATCAGCCACCAACGCTCGCTCCAATAATTCCTCCACCGCACTCTACAGCCTGTTCTGAATCTGGTCAGGAGAACACGACTACGTACTAGTGACTAGAACCAGGGACGTCACGTATATAAAATGAATAAAGGATCAATACTAAGACCGAACCCTGAGGAACAACGGCTTTCACGGGTCGTATTATTGACAAAACTTTGTTAATTCTAATCCGAAACTTCATGTCTTCGTGAAAGGATTTCAACAGCATTAAAAGCCAAAGTGGAAAGACCTTTTGGATGAGTTTATACAAGAGGTCGATGTACCACACCTTTTCAAGTAACATTGATACATGGAAAAGCAAGATACCTTTACTTCTGTTCAAGGGGAACCCCTGGTTATATGCTCCTGTGGTCATCTGACGAGATATTTTCAACGTCACAGTGAACCACCTTTTCAGAGAGTTTAGAAAGAGATGACAGCAGGCTAATGAGATGGTAATATTAGCGAATATCGAATCTGTCTGGGGTCATGATGAATCCAGCAATCTTCCGCGTCCAAGATAACAACTAAGTTCAGAGCATTGCATTGATTACTTCCATCAGATAGGTCCAAGCCTTTTGCGAAAGGAGCTTCAGTTTTTTAATGGTGATTTGGTCCTCTTCAGACTCTTCACGCACCTTTAGGTATTTAATGTGGCTTTGGAGCTCTGGTGGTATGGAATACGAGACCAAAGAGGATCCCACTGATATGCTATGAAAAGGTTCCTCTGAAGAGTCTACTACTTTCTACTGTACTATTATTTCCAAACCTAAAAGGCCTTTCTGCATTATTAAACCACATATTGGTAGCCAAACAAACAGCATCTGAGGCCAGCCACTATTCACACTTGGGAATAACGGGGTTCCAGAGCCAATGACAGCAGGGGTAATTTTTGTTTAATAGTTTTTAAACGCGAATGCAGAAGGAAGTGGAATCAGTTATACTTGAAACTTGATGTGAATACAAGATTCTGAATCCGTTGTATGTAATGAAAACAACTACTGAGAGATGAAATCCCAAAACCGTGACGAGTATCAATATCCTTGCCAGTTCATTGTAGCATATGTATAAAAAATTCGTCCGAAACAAGCATTTTGAGGTCTTTAGGAGTTCTATCCTTAGTCGTGTGTAGGGTATGGCCTACCTACTTACCAGAGAAATACAAGCAGTCGGTGAGGTGAAAATTACACCGTCACCTGCGTGTCTCTCAGGGGGAATTTCCATCAGTTTTTTCTCCAACCCGGGAAAACTTCGGATAGCGCACAGCAGTGAAGTTCGGGAAGGTAGAAGAATTCCATTATAATAACTTAACAGATTCTCAGACATTGCTATTTGAAATAGGTAGAATTACACTTATCTGATATCTAGCTCGTATTTCAGAACTAACGGCATAATATCAGGACGACTTTTTGTTATCATCAAGTGCGGCGTTTAAAGAGTGACCAGCGGAAAATTTTTAACTTCAAAGTTCAATATACAATAACTACATTATTTTCATGTGTGCTTATTTTGTAAAAGTTTGGTTTTAGGTGTCCTTATAAAAAAATCGCAAGATGTGAGGTCCGGCGACTGAGGCGGCCATGGATTGTCTACGTAGTTGCTGATCAGCTTTTCGGAAAAATTGTCCTCAACCTTTGCATCGAATCCGTAGATGTATACGGAAATAAGGTTACCTTGTCGTATCCTGGATACAGCTCCAATTGCTGTAAAAGGAACCCGTCAATCATACGGGAATACACCGGAGCGGAGGCTGTCTCTCATTGGTTAGAAAACTAATGACCAGTTACCCTGCTGGCTAAAATGGCACAACAAACTATCGTTTTTGAGCAATGTTTTTGATGGCATTCTCTAGGGCTGTTGAGGCACCAGTATCTGATACTTGGTCAGCATTTTTCTTGGCGAAGTTTTTTCGTTAAAATCCTAAACATTTTGCATTTTGTATGTGTGGAGCTTTAATTTCTTTTTCAAAGTACGATGCACTGTTGATTTTTTTATTCCTGTGGAAGCCGCAATCTGACTGATTGATTTGTGGATTTTGAATAATTTCATTTGGGAGTTGAGACACATGTTTTGGTGTTGATGCTGATCTTGATGGTCTCGGATGAGTTCTGTTGACCACTGTCCTTTTTTGCCTGAATCTCTTTACCCACAAGCAAATAAGTTGCGAGCTCGGTCCATCACCTAGTCGTCGCATATTGAAATGATTCACCTAACTTGAGATATTGCTCAGCAGCGAATGCGCGGTGTGTCCCCGACCAATGGGACTACCATTTCCGCGAGTCCTGCTCTTTGAATGATACCTCTCCCGTCTACTTCACCACGCTAGAATTTCCAGAATTGCAAT